TTTTAAAACATACTTTATATTTGTTTTGCTTCGAAAAATTATTTTTTTATAGTGTACTTGCAAAAAAAAAAAAAGGAAAACAAATGCTCCCCAAAACTGTAGCAGACACACAACACCACCATCCATCTCTCTAATGGAGAAAAAAAACATTGTAAGGAGCTCAAGAAAAGGAAAGGAGAAGCAAAAGAAAGAAAAAAGATATACAAGTGACAGAGAGAGACAGTGCGAGATACGAACGGAGAGGAACGGATGTGATAATAGAGGGAATATGGCAGTAAGCAGCATTAACGTTTAGTCTTCAATCTCCTCCATTTGTTCAGCTCTGCCTCTTTATTAAATCAGAGGGGAGGATTCTGGGAGAAATCCCACAGGTCTGCCATAAGTGGGGGCACACGGGGGCCAGCGCGGGAGAACAGACACAGCCAATAAGATTTAGGATGAACAAGTCTTATCGACAGGAAACAATTGCTCACAATCACTTTCTTTCTTCCCTCCCTCTCGTTCTCTCTCCTTCTCGTTTTGAGCGATGGAGTTGGAGTCGCAGAGAAATCAAAAGGAATAATGGTGTTTTGTGACGGAGGGATGCAGGGTGAATGGAGGTTGGAGGTGCGGCGATGCTGCGGGTCCAGGTTAATCATGAATTGTGTCGTTTAACACCCCCCCCCCCCTTGCTTCTCTATCCCTCCATATTATAAATGCACTGACCTCCAGCCCAATGCACTCTAGCCTATAGCCTATCTGTGAAGCTGAGAAATTAATTTTATTACTTTTCACTCGAAATCAATAATGCCACCAATAAGAGAGAGGGTGACAGAGAGAGAGAGAGAGAGAGAGAGAGGGAAAAAATACATATATACTGTAGGAGCAGAGGCTCAGGAGAGAGAAATAGATAATGAAAATCTATAACTTATGAATATTTTGGGAGGTTTTTCTTGCGTTTGCTTTGTTTTGTGTTTCACTTTTTTCACTTTTCATTGATTTCAATTTAGAGGACTACAGCCGCAGTTTATGACTGCAAATACAGCTGAAGAATCTGAAGAATCTTTATGAAACTGTCTGGATGGGAATATATATAATATTACGGGCAGAGAAAGAGGCAACAATAATCAGTGAACATTTAAACGTACCGGTGACCAAAACTTCCTTATAAAACAGAACAGTTTGGCTCTAATATCTGACTGGATGAATCACTCTGAAGTCCTTGTAAAATTGTTGATTTTGATTTAGAAGTTTTCACTGCACAAAATATCAAAATAAAATAAAAGTACATTTAAAATACCTTTTACATTTTTCAGATTCTGTTACATAATTGTGACCCTGGACCACAAAACCAGTCATAAGGGGCAATTT